GGTAACGTAGTACGTACGTACGACTAACTAACTAAGTATATATAATAATAATATATATATATATATATATATATATATATATATATATATATATATATATACATACATATATACAGAAGGTATTCATTCTCTTGTTGGGTGGACGTCGACGCTTGATGCTAGCATGAACAAGTCAACACAAAACATTGTATCGACATGTGCATATGATACTATCAGGAGTGTATCAATATTGATACACTCCTGATACTATACCCTGTACGTTATAGTTACTGGGGTGGGGTCTAATTAGTCCCTCATACATTTCTAACACTGTCTTTGTAAGCTGCTTGGCAATTAATAGGCGTAGCAAGATGTAAGAAAGCAGCCCGTTTTTCACGGCCACTAACTCACGCTGGTTGCCATGCATTCTTGTCACTGCATTTTTATGCATTTTGCAGTGATTATTATATGACAAATGACATATGTCTGCTTACACTGTCACTGTATAGTTGACTAACGGGAAAGATATGAGCCGCGTGGAAACAGATATGCTGTCTTATAGGTAGTGTTAGTAGACAGAGCTGATGGTATTTTCTAGCATGGTTCGCATTTAAACTTCTAAAACGTAGTGGGTGGTGTTGTTTATATTACTGTTCATAGTAACTTTGTCAGGGGCATTACCGAAAGTCAGTTTTTAGGTATCTATATTATTGAGACAGTTGCTGTCTTTGTTATGAGTCCGTCCATTGAGTCTATGGCCTGTTTTACAAAATAATTTTACAATGAGTCTCAGTCATAATTGATGTTGTCACCAGATGTTAGCCAAGTCATTTACGATAATATCTTGTTCTGATCTCTGCCACACTATGCCGTTTTTCTTATTTTTCCTTACACAATCAGACATTTATATACTCAGTATAATGCTGTTACTATACTCGTAGTTGATATGAGTTCACTAAAACTACGTTGGTATCAACGTCAAAATTTTTACAGATAAAATTGAACACTGGTTGCTCGATCATGTACGTTCAAATGTTTGTAAGTATTGATGTACGTATGATGTTCTACAGACTCGTTCTGCTTGTTGTTTCAGCATAATTGAAAGGTTTTTTCAGTGATCAAACGAGCGGATATTTTTTTACAAACGACCACTAAGTTTTGTTTCCACTGCATTAATGAGTCATCTGAGTGGAAAATGTATATTCAAAGTGCCATTCAAAACATGTGAATAAATTTAGTCTCAATGCTTCCCAAATATTATTTGATCGACATGAGAGCATATACCGGCTTGACATAATTTCAATACTAGTATAATTCTTTTACCAATTGTCTCTGGTATATAAATATCGCACTCTTGCATTTTAAAATCTGATGTGTATTATATGTGTTTAATTTGATTTGTTTCACTATCATTCTGTTTATTGAATCCTTGTGCTCTAAAAAGGTCTTGTAAGTTATACAATTATGTAGGTGGTTCAAAGTAAAAAAAAAAGTGAAAACACATTTATTTATATTTGTTTTGCTTTACTGCTAGTGCTCTGACGCTTCCACGCTTCATGTGTATAATGAGTGGAAGAACGCGTATCGGCACATTCGATCCATCAATTTCTTAGCCACCACAAACAGTTTGAAGGCCAGAAATTTCTTAGCCACCACAAACAGTGTGGGCTCAAATATTTCTTAGCCGCCACAAACAGTTTGTAGTCCCAAAAAGTTCTTACCCACCACAAACAATTTGTGGGGGTAAAAATTACTTAGCCACCACAAACAGTTTATGGGCCCAAAAATTTCTTAGCCACCACAAACAGTTTGTAGGCCTAAAAATTTCTTACCCACCACAAACAGTTTCTGTGTCAAACATTTTTTAGCCATCACAAACAGCTTGACGCCGAAAAAATTTCTTAGCTACCGTAGGCACTATACGATCTTTGGCCACCACAAACAGTTTGTGTACAAAAAGTTTACAAAGTTGGCCAAAATGAAATGTTACGTACCATAATCGTATCAGGAGTCTATCAAAATAGTTTTTGAAAAAAAATGAAAAAAAAAAATTTTGATAGACTCCTGATCGTATTGTAGGTCACAGAAATTTGCTTATTTGCAATTCAAACAAAATAATTTGCTCGTAACTCATATACGTGTGGGTCCACAGTTATGTTGTGGTGGCTTAACAGTTAACACCTCTACATAAACGGAATGACAGGTGTTAGTGTTAGCAATTATATACGAAATCACGCAGTACTCTCACTTGGGCCTATGCCTCAACTATTTGGCTGAAATTCCCTAAAATCATACAATACTTAACGCACTACTGTTTTTATTATTTCTATTATTTTTATAGCAAATGCCATTACTAAAAAGCGCCATCTACCACCATTTTTATTTATTTATTTTGGCAGCAATGTTTCAGACTAACTAGTATATAGTATTACCACAGACTACACACTTTTTTTTTATAAGAATTCTTTTTATAAGAATCATCGAGGCTTGATTTCCCAAATTTTAAGAATTTTTTAAGAATAATGCTGAGGCTCGATCATCAGACACACATTGTCACTCGATGACGACGGCGACGAGTGGATTGATAATGAGGATGACCGATTCTATGACGTTAAATTTTGCAGCCGTAGGGTGAAAGTTCATTATGAAAATGGGTGGTTTGAAGGCACTCTTGAATACTTCAACGACGACATACATAAATATCGCGTTTCCTACCCCGACAGGAGTGAGGACTATATTGGCCTCGAAGACATTGACGGCGTAGAAGTCATATTACTGTAGTGATTACGTCACGAATTTCTAGCACCATCAATTAAGTAGTACATTTGTGTGTTATTTGTACAAAATAAAATGTCTGAAAATACAATTAGTGTTTCTGTTTACTTTTTATGCTTATATACCTTCTTTATATGCCCTAATTTGCCGGTGAAAAACAGAGAGACGCCAGTATCTGAACAGTACTGGGGGAATAGTGTTAGACAACAGAAATTACCAAATCGTCTAGATTTTTGCAAATTTAACCAACGTAAAAACATTTTTATCAGGTGAGAGTTTGAGGATATATTTAGTAACGTTAGTTCTTACTTTTAAACTAAAAAAATGGCAATTTTTTTTTTTACAAATTTTATCATAGAAAATTCGTGACGTAATTTAAGAATTATCAATTCTTAAATTAATCAACCTTAAATAGGCTCAAAATGTCGATTTTCTAAGAATCACGAGGCTCAAAAAAAAAAGTACGATTCTTATAAACAAAAAAGTGTGTAATGGATAACGGTATCCGTTAGTCTGAGGTATTACTGGTATAGTATTTAGTACAACATTATTTGGCAGCTAGCCATAGATATCATATATGCACGTATAATATGGTTGTCCGTGGTCAAAATGGTAAAATATTTTTATTGCAAAACATTTTTATGGTACGATTTCTATGATCCATACCGATACTATCTCCGATACAGCGCTACAGTCGCATACTAAGATGGCGGCGTGGCGGGTTCTTGAAAGTAAACTTTAACTATACACGTTTTCTTTGGTCCTGTCTCGGTACGTCTGAGTCTAAACCTGTTGTTTATGCACAGTATTTAGGTACATCGATAAGATGGCAAATGATCCAAATCGTTTCACTGCACAGTAAGTTATATTAAAACTATTTTTGGTTTTAGTTTTAGTTTTGCAGGCAGTGACAGTCACACTCACAGTGACAGTGGCTTGTCAGTTTTTCGTGACAAAAACGTGTAAGAGTAGACCTTTGTGTGGAGGGAGATTCAGAGTTTGAGTTATTGTGAGCATAACATGTTCACGATGTTGTCATGTCTATAATTATTTGTGATGTTCAATAATGAGGTGACCTCAGTTTATCAGCAACACTGCCAACATTGCAACAACACTGTCAACAGTACATCAATGTCATCATTAGTCATCATCACCTGTAATAATACTATTATTTATTTAGGCATTATTATCCTGGCTAAATCGTACATGGTAAACGTGTACGGTCACCTAAATGTCACGACTCACAGCAAATGTAACCCTAACCTGCCATTACGGACAGGGACCGAAAGTGGATTTGCTAGTTGGCTCTTAAGCCGTGCTTAGGTCGCCCCGATTTGTTCGCCGACAAAATTTGAAGATCATACGACCGAAACCGGGCAGGTCGTTCAATGCTGAAAAATGAATAACTCTTCGGATTACCTGCTCCAAATTACCCTTGATTTTTACTTACTCGCTGTACCATAAATATCTATAACTTTCCATAAAATGTATCATGGTCAGGTGAAGATTGGCATTCCCTCTTGCTTCATGAAGCCTGTTCGTGGCACTGGATCATCTGAGCATGATCATTGCTTTCGACATGTGCCATCTTCTAAGGATCGCTTTAAGTTTAGCTTCTTTGTTTCTGATATTCCGTATTGGAATTCTCTCCCTTCGTCTTTAGTAAATTGCAAATTTGCGGCTTTTTCTACTGCGATCCGCAGCACCTGTTGATCTGTCTATTTGATCAACTTGCCGAGCTCTATCTTCGATATTGTCCCTTGGACTTTGGAGACTGTTACTTACGAGGTTACGAGGTCATGTCACATTGTGACATCTATTGTATAGTTCAGTTGCACAGCTTAGTCAGCTATGTCAAACCTGCCCATTCAGTCAAGATTTAATAGAAAATATGCACAACCTATGCTGTGGTGTCGTGCAACTGACACTGTTAGTAATAATTGTTTATTACCATATTACTCCTACCAGGGACGGTAGAGATTCGTTTGATGCTCTGATGGCAACCCCCGAGCAGCGGCAGGAAACAAAGAGCAGGGCCATGCGTCGCAGCATTGGAGTCAACCTTCAGAAATGTAATTAACATACTCTGTGACAAGAAGGAGACTGAAAAACTTTGTTGATTCTGCTCTTTCACCTAACGATGATTTCGCCATGTGCACAAACTTCAGTTACCATTAGCTTTATTATATCAACAATTGTGCATATATATTATATATATATATATATATGTAAATGTATGGATGTCAACAAGTTGTGTTTTATAGTGCAAGCAAACATGCTAAACTATATCATATGTCTCTAACTTATATACCATAAATTATATATCTAACACAATCGAATGTTAAAATCGCAGTGACAATAATTTTTGGCAATGGTGCGGCAACAGGTGATAAGGGCACATACATTTTTATTCAATTCTACTCTGGCTTCTGTTTACAGCTCTACAGATTCTAGATGAGGCAATAGGATCGCCACCTACAGGAAGCATCCTGCGTACCAAGAGGAGAAGTATACGACAGAGCATGCGTACGTGTCGTGTTGTGTTCTTATATGCGATGGGAGGTTTAGAATTCCATTCACGGAAAAAGTAGTTTGTTCACTGATAACTACTTGATTACATTGAGATACTAATAATGAGTAAAATATTGATTGTTTTCAAATGTTTGTTCCCACCATTATACTTGTGTGTTTCAGTAACACCATCGCAGTTGTCAGAATCAAGGTTTGATTCATCAGCTGTCTTTGGGAATTCTTTCAACCGGACACCAGGAGCGTCAAATATGGTACTTATCAACACTTCCCAGTAGTGTACTAACAGTAGTGCTACGCAGGTCATATACATCTACGTGACAATTTACTGTTGCATTGGTCACACATATGATCCCAATTGTAAGTACAGAGCATCATGGCAGTTTGTCACGTTCTATGCTGCAAGTATTCTTTATTCATATCCAATAGGGTACTGATGTTAATGCTGCCCTGAATTCTATGCTTAATGTAGATAATCAATGATAGCCTACTGGATCCAACCGTAACTCTGCATGGAGATGCTTTACAGAGAAAAAGAGGATTTAATCAGGTATTATCAATATCATGTTATGCTTTCTGATCTAGACAATTTCAATAAATGGTAAAGAATATTGTTTTGTTTACAATGTGGAGCAATCTCATAACTAAAAATGACAAATACCGTCAGCGCCAAATATACTCTTATGTAATAATGTGATGTAAAAAATATGTTATTATAATTGAAAAGAAATACAATTTTATTTTATTTTTTATATTTTTTTAATATTTATATTATTTTTTGTGAGTATAGCGGTCATTAGTTTTTTAGCTATTAAAATGTATCAGTACATTATTTCTGTCTATCTAACTTTTTTTCACTGTGATTGATATAAAGTTCACCTATCTCATTCTCCTGATTTATACACCTGTATTTTTAAATGTGTGATGTATCTCTCCATATAGGATTTGACCACAACTAATGTAACACGATTGTTGGAGGATGATCCAAATCTCGCAGGTTTGTGCGATTCTCTTGCTTATGTTGTCCACATTTAACGTGACTGAGCTGTGGAAATATGTTGGGGCAGAACTACCACTATTAAAATCGCATCCTAATTTGTTGCCATCCAGTTCTTTGCATATTTAACTCATTACATTATGTCTCGTCTAATTGGAGTTTTACATGGGGCCGAGAGAGTTTTTACTCGTTAAAGATTTGGATGCTGGAATGGCGAGTATGCCACAGGTTTTTTGTGTAGTTTTGTGTGCAGTCAGCTCCATGGATCTAAAAGCCACTATACTATACTGTACTATATTATACTATACTGTACTATGCTATACCATACTATACTATACTATACTATACTATACTATACTATACTATACTATACTATACTATACTATACTATACTATACTATACTATACTATACTATATGACATACTATACTACACATACTATACTATACTATAGCTATACTATACTATACTATACTATACTATACTATACTATACTATACTATACTATACTAACATATGTATACTGTCTTTAACCTGTACTGTATGCTGTACTACACTACAGCTACACTGCACTGCACTGCACTACACTACACTGTACTTCTATACTGCAGTGCACATATAGCCTATAAGAAAAGAATATTATATTCACCCCGGTGTGGCTCCACACGAGTCTGCAGGTTGTTCACCGGCCTTCCATGGTCGGTGACGCGTGACAACGACCTCGAACATGAATCTTCGACTTGCTGGAAGAATACGTGCGGTGGGTGGGTCCATCAACACCGCCAGGTCGAACCACAGGTCGGTTCCCAGCGATTCTTTTCACTGTTCAAAAAGTGGTTAGTTCTGTGTGGTACGAGTTCCAAAGTTGGGATCAAGGCCTGCATAGACCCCGGGAAAGTTGTGCACCTTTTTTTTATTTCTTTTCTCTACTTAGTGCATGTTGAAATGAATTTCAATTTTAGGCCTCATTTTCGAGAATACAATAAAATGGTAGTAAAAATAATTGCCTAAAGCAAACCGAGAAATTAATCGGATAACATATGTGTGGTTTTCTCGTACAGGGAACAAGGTATTGGATTGGGAAGGTTTATTTGTACTGGCTTTTGAAATTTGATCTACCTCTCTCCCCACTAGCATTGTACCTCCCCTGCGGCTCATGCAGTCCGTTACATTGATAGCCTCCCTGGCCCCATACACGACCGCTACAACTCTTCTCCGTGCCCTTTTACACAACTCGTACACTGATACCCCCTCTCGCGTACGGTCTTCACTGATGCGTCACCTGACCCTCCTCTCTCTCTCGTCTCGTCCTCGATCTCTCTCTCTCTCTCTCTCCTCCTCTCTCTCTCGTCTCCTCTCTCTCTCTCCTCTCTCTCTCCCTCTCACTCCTCTCTCTTCTCTTTCTCTCTCTTCTCATCTCCTGCTCTCTCGCTCTCTCTCTCCCTCTCTCTCCGCTCTCTCCTCTCTCTCTCTCTCTCTCTCTCTCTCTCTCGTCTCATCTCTCTTTCTCTCTCTCTCTCCTCTCTCTCCTCTCTCCTCTCTCTCTTCTCTCTCTCCCTCTCTCTCTCCCTGCCCTTTACACGATCGCTACTTTGATACTCTTCCTGCCCTATACATGGTTATTACATACCCTTCCCCTACGCTTCACTGATCGTTACACTGACCTCTCTCTCTCTCTCTCTCTCTCTCTCCCCCCGCTGTTGTAGGCTCTGTCAGAGCGGGTGCAGCTGATGCAGTCGCTCGTGCAGAAGGCCGCGCCGGGGCAGGCGCGCTTCCAGCAGCTGACGGACGTGCTGCTGCACCTGACGCAGGAGCGCGACACGTGGGAGCTGATACGCACGCTCTTTTTCGACCGGCTGCAGACGGCCGCCGAGGAGCTCGACGACGCCGACTCGATGGAGGGCGTCGAGATGCTGGTGAGTAGGTGGCGCCGGCGTCGGCACGCGCGTTCTCGGCCGGTCGTGCTCGGTGGGCGGCCACGGTCGATAGGCGCAGCGACAGGGGGGGGGGGGGTAATATACGCCGCCCAGTGGTAAAGTGCTGCATCATCGACGATATGCGTGTAGAAACCGGTCTATCTTAATCAAGCTAGCGAGCCGGGTTGGGAGGGGTCCTAGCAGTCAGAATATCTTTTAGAATGTCGATCCGCAACAGTGAATTCATTGGGTTCTGAGCGGTTTCTGATTGGTTTCTGGGGAGTTTTGTAGGGTTTATATACTGTTGCTCGATAGACTGCTGGGATTAACATCACAGTCGGTTTTGCAATATTTTTAGGATGCTCGATTGAGTGACAAGGATATAGTGAACAATCTGTTCAAGAAAGAGGCACCAACAAGACAGAACCAGGTATTTGTTTTATATACATGGAAATCTACTACGGTTGTGGTATTCCTGACAGGATTTGTTGTTATCCCAGAGTATGTCCAACGCACTGTCTTTTCACTGCAAAGACCAAACACCTGTGACCAAGGTTAAGGAAAAATAATGACGAAGGCGATCTTTCTAGCATCAAAATAGAATGCCGCAACTGTTTGAGGATTACAGGTTGGCTAAGCGGTCATCTTGTTATAATAAGTTACTGTTGCTGTGTGAAATGCATCATCGTTTTAGAATTGTTTTATGTAGGCCTTTTTCTCTGTTATCGGGCAGGGTCCCCACTGGAACATACAACACCCACGATGACGAGGGTGGTCACTGTCGGTGTTTTACGTTCTCGATTGTTTATCTGCGTGCCCATTATTGAACCTACGGTCTGAATTATTCGTGAAGGTATGTTTGCGTTACGTGGACTGACGTTGATGATTCTTTGTGCGATTGCAGTTGGTGATCGACTGGCTGGAACTGTCTGCCGCACAGATGCTGTCAGAGAAGTATGATCGTGTTGAGTTCTTCGCTGACAACTCTGTGGCTTGGTAAGTAATGTGCTACGTGAGATAGGGTGAGATAGGAAATGGTGAGGAATTCGTACGTCGGTCGGCTGGTGCGGCGTGGGTGATAGTCATGTTAGTTTATTATCGACGACGTGGTATAATTCTCCTGGCGTCCTAGTGTCTTTACCACGTTCTGGTGTGTTTTTGTTCTGCAGGGAAAATACACTGATGTATTTACATCAACGGAGGGAAAACGTTCCTATTGGACATGACCGGCCTATTGTGACAGAGCTTGTAAGCATCACTAAATATCAGCAATGCTCCACACATTCACATTTGAAATATCATCAGCAACTGAACTTGACTGTAGCATCTTCTAGCAAAATGAAATGATATCTGAATAAAACTGTGATGCTATTGGGAGCATTCGGCAGAGAATTATCTCTTCTTTCTTTTTTCAGTTTGAAAGCATTGCTTGTTTGTACTGTTTCTTCTTGTCTATTGTGCTCGTTTTTGTTTTAGGACCCAGATGCCCCTATCAGACAAAACAGACCTCTTGCTGACCTTGACAGGGTTGGTATCTTATAGGAAATCACCTACTGCTCAATGTTTTGTCAGTAATTTTAGCTTTTAGTTCCTCACCTAGAGCAGAATGAATGCAGAACAATGATTCCGGTTATTTAGTTTAAGATTGTCTCAGTTGTCGTAACCATTCTAGTTGTTTTTGGTTGTGAAATAAAACGTAATGCAAATTATTATTCAGTGTGTTTAGTGAACTACTCTCGGTTCATTAACTGCTCGACAAAATATTGCACCAATTGTCTTCATTCTCTAATTTACAGGAAGATGAAGCTCGATTGCTGAAAAACATATTTGTGTACATCAGAGCCGGCCAGTTGCATGAGGTAGGTGATGCTTCGAGCTCAAAACTCGTTTGTTTACAGTGTAACGACCGTTCATAATGAATGGTATCAAGAGAGGGTGATGCTATCCTTTCTTGGTGGTAAGGCTGCTATGGCTACCGTAGATGTGTAGTCCTATATTAACATGTGTGATGTAGGTACATGCAGTTTTTAGACTGGTGACCTCCATCACAGGTACAAGTTACATTTTTACATATACTAGTATATGTGCATGAGAGCGTGCGTGCGTGCGTATTTGTAACTACTTTATCTTTGGGTTTATAATAACTTGTATAGAACTATAGTCAAAGCAAACAATAGAAACAGTGGTTGTGCAGTAGATCGAGGCTGTGCGCGCCGCACGTTTCTACGCTATTTGCGGTCGGAGTGCTTCTGCATAACACACTTGCTGTTACTCCCGGCAGGCTGAGGAACTGTGCGTAAAGTGCGGGCAGGCGTGGCGGGCCGCGACGCTGGAGGGTTGGCGTCTGCACCACGACCCCAACTACGCCGACGAGGGCGGCAGCGAGGGAGCGGCTCCCGAGGGGAACGTCTACCGCGACATCTGGAAGGCCGTCTGCTGGCGCCTTTCGCAGGACGTAAGCATTCGTAAACCCCCGGTCTGTACATAGTTTTTAGGTCTTTGAGGTAGTGAGATTGTAGCACACAACACAACGGCGTGCGTGCATGCGTACGTGGGTATGTGCTTGCACGTGTGCATACATAGGTACAGGTGTGTATACGTGCGTCCGTACGTGCGTGTGTGCGTACGCATTTGTGTTCATGACTGCTGCGTGTCTGCGTGCGTGAGTCGGAGCATGTTAGTTCGATAATGTTGTAATTGTGTGTGACATTTTATCGAGTAGAGTGCAACAAAGTGGTGAGAGTATCTTGACAATAGAACAAAAAGTATCTAAGGCGCTTTATACATCAATGTAATAAAAACAAAATACAGCCATATTGCACGACCTCAATACAAAGCTTTAAATCATTTTAATAATTTTGTTTTAATTACAAATTCATTGCACACGTTATATCTTGTTCTCATCGTTACCATACTCAAAAACATAGATCAAAATTCAATCAATCAATTTCAATAAACTTCCGATAATATACTCATCGAAACCCCCATCGTTCTCATCGTTGCGTTGTCGTTCATGGCAGGAGCGACTGAACCTGTACGAGCGCGCGATGTACGGAGCCTTCAGTGGCAACCTGCCCGCGCTGCTGCCGGCGTGTCCGACATGGGAGGACCGGCTGTGGGCGTACTACCGCACAATGGTCGACGCACGCACCGAGCAGGAGATACGCACGGACACGAGTACAGAGCGTCCCCTGGAGCAGCTGCCGTCGGCGTACTGGAACAAGATGTATGTGTGGCGCGGTCGCGCCGATCTAGAACTCCGTCGACATATGGATCCAGAATGTAAAATTGAGCAGGGGGGCTGGGTAGGCTCTGAGTAGTGTAGATCCACTGTGTTAGTTTATAGATATAAAATTGAGCAGGGTACATAGGTAGGCAACATTTGGTGTAGGTCCACTGGTTTAATTCATAAAAAGATAATTTATAGATAGTCAAAACTGAGCAAGGGCCTGGGTAGGTACGATGGGGTTTAGGTCCACTTTGTTAGTTTCTAGAGCTTGAGTAGAAATAGTTGACTCCATCTTAGCAATGAATAGTTATTTGATTTAATGACCTTGCGTAGCACGTGACGTGTTTAGCTAGCACGCAGAGGGTAGAGTACTCTGGTCGGTTCCCCCTTCTTCTCAGCTTTCTCCTTTCTCGCGTACCTAGAACTCAATTCCTGTGTTCGTGTTGAGCAATGTTTGCTATTATTGTCACAATTGCACAAGATGTTGCACAAGCTCAATTCCGTTGCAGGTTGACTCCCGAGGTCATCTTTCAAGAACTACAGGCCAGTCGCGAGGAGGTGTGTAATTCCACAGGCCCTTAGGCTGAGCACAGTCGATTCCTGGGAGTTTTCTCCACTGAATATCGCTCTTTAGTTTGCAGTTTACTGTTGCTTTCCCACCTCCGTACTCCATCAGCACATATTTAGGGAAGTAATTGGAGAGGGGGCAGCATTGCGACTTTCAAATTTAGAATAAGTCTTTCTGGGAGTGAAACGTGACATTTAATCAAGGGGGAATAATCACTGATACTTTATCAAAAGCTAATAAACAAGCTAGTTATACAAGAGCTAGTTTATATAGGCAGGATAAGCTCTTGCTGTAATGTGATTCATCATAAAAACTCTAGATTTCGAGTCTCAAAAAATCGAAATTACATCGTAATAAGCAACCCAGCCAGACGGTCCCCATTGAGCGTTTACGAGCCAGGTCCCTGACAGTTTAATTTCTCCATTTACATATCTGTTGAGAATTAAATAGATTGATCGTCAATCGTGTTTTCTCTCTCGCTGGCGCAGACGATCTGCCAGCAGGCGGTGAATACAATTAATTTAAACTTTAAATTAACTTTAAATTAAATAAAATTGATTAATCGATTAAGTTTACAATGAAATTAATTGTTGATTAATCGTTGATCGTGCTCTCTCTCTCTCTCTCTCTCTCTCTCTCTCTCTCTCTCTCTCTCTCTCTCTCTCTCTCTCTCTCTCTCTCTACCAATCCCTTGA